CCCCCCCCGGCCATGCACCCTCAGTTTTCCTCCAAAGATCACCCTTATTCCTCTCCAGCCACACTTATTCTGGAAGCACACTTTCACACATGCTCCGGTTCTATTTCCCTCTGCCTGCAATCCAATTTCTTTGAGACAGTACTGAAGACACCTAAATGTGAGTGCCAGTCATCTCCCCCTTTTCACCACAGGCTGAGAGCTTTGCATCACTAACTTGAGACTTCTGTTTTCCTTGCCATGCTGCACGCTGACAATCCTGGACGTTGCTCAGTACTCGGGGATGGAAGCTCCAGAGAAATCTGTTGTTGCACATTCCAGCTTCCCCCTTGGAGCCTTCCATGTCCTCCTATAGACAAAGCCCTTTCAAGCTGTAGGGGCCTGATGACATCTTTCAAGGTGGTTTGCTATCCATGGCATGTGTCACTAGTCCATGGTAGCCTCTTAATGGTTCCTTCTGCATAGTAGGAGGCTAGTCCAAGCAGGGCTTTTTCTAGCCTGGCTGTAGCTTATGTTCTCGAGAGCCTCCCATGCCACCTCAGCTACCCTGCTTCTTTCTATGCATCACTGTACACAGAGCTTGTACTCCTTCCAAGTGCAAAATGAATTTTCCATGTCTGCTCCCTTGCTTTCAGCCAGGCTTTGTCCCTTTGCTCAGAGCCCATCCTCCCATTCATTCCCCTCTGGGCTAATTTTGTGAGACTTCATTTCACAGTACCCTTCTCTCCTCCTGCATTTTAACCTCGCTCATGTCAGCTCGCCTAAGGAAGGCACTAGCTGCATAATCCAACTTCACAGTAATCTGCAATCATTTCTGCCTATGTAGCTGCTGTTCAGATTTGTTCTCTTGGTTACAGGCTATGTCTTCTGCACCTGTCCACAGCCAGTGGGATCTCTGAGACCAAATCCCTGCTTGAGTACTGGGTCCTCAGGATATACCTCCTAGGAAGGGGGGAGAGCTGCTCACTGCTCCTGCCTGAGCCATCCCTGAGGTCTCAGCAAAGGCCTGACTCAACAGTCGTGGGGAAACTTTCTGCTGAGTTGCAGAGAGCCAACTCTGAGCTCTCATGCCAGCTTTCTGACTCCCCCTCCAATTTCATCACTTCCGTTTGTGCCACCTGGGGAAGAGTAGAGTCCAAATCACCGCTCAGAATGTGGCTCTCCTGGTACCTAGCAAAGGATTACTTCCAGCTCTGTGGGAAGGGACTCTTCCCGGCAAATGTTGAAAACCATGCTCTGGACAGCCAGTTTAAAGATTCGTTTCAGTGCATGATGTTATCAGGGTACTGTGCAATCAGTAGTAAACACTGCATTTTTCCATGGTGATGCTTAGTTGTGGCAGTGCACTGGTCACTAAGCTGAGATACCAAATCTTTTCTCCCATGGTGCCCTATGCTACATGTGTTTCTCTGACCTTAGGTCAAAATGGATTTTATGGAACGTTTCAGAAACTGAGCTTGGCTGATCAGAAAGGAGGCAGCGATTCTTGTATCAGCTGTTTCTGCTCCTGTTCAGCACAGCTGACAGTGGCCTTCAAAAAAAGAAAAAGGAAAAAAGGACTGAAAATACTAGATAGGAACCACTCTCCCACCACGAACCTGTTTAATAAAGCATTTGGTTATCTGAGTAAAGACTAATCAAATTAAACACAAAGATTTTGGGGGGAGGGAGGGAGAGGCAGGATGATCAAAGGATAGACAGAGGGACCCCTGTAACCTACTCAATGAAAACAGTGCACACTGCGTAGGCTGTTCCTAAGATCATCATAGAAGAACAGTTAGACTGTTGTCTCTAGTACACAACCCACCAAGGTGATTCAGGGAAAACACCTCTTTCCCAGGAATGCCATGCAGATTAAGGGGAATTATGGCCTAAAGGGATAAAGGATTTATTATAGGATGCAAGGGGACAATAATTTTGGGATGGAGCAGATGGAACTTCAGAATTGTATGAAACTGATTACCGGATGTTTAGGGGAACAGACACAGGAGAAGAAAGGGAGGGTTCAGCACAGACAGGGGAGAAACAAGCATAGGAAAACAGAAAGAAAAAGGAGAAAAGGGACCAGCAGCATGTAAGCAGGGGCTATTCAGTATGCTTGCCTGATGGAGCACTTTGCATGATCACTGCAATCTGTCCTGAATTTGTATTAAATCCTGCCTCTCCTGTGTGACTGTGCTCCCTGTTCTGAGCCCGTATTTGAGAACAGCTAGTGAACTTCAGGCTGGACTAGCTGCTAAGCAGGATAGGAGGTCTGGGTGCTGGCCCCTGGAGAGACTCACATTCTGTGTGTGTGTCTGTGTGTGTGTGTGTGTGTGTGTGTGTGTGTGTGCGTGCGTGTGTGTGTGTGTGTGTGTGTGTGTGTGTGTGTGCGCGCGCGCGCGCGTGTGTGTGTGTGTGTGTGTGTGTGTGTGTGTGTGTGTGTGTGTGTGTGCGCGCGCGTGTGCGCGCGTGTGCTAGCACATTAGGCAGGGGAGACCCTTGGCAGGGCTTTCCCTTGAGTTTCTCTCTGCAGAACCACGGTCAGGCTATTTGTGCTGCATGGGCTTTTGTGGGTGCCTGTCAAGGTATCACCTTCCTGTCTGTGCTAGTCTGCCTGCCATGGGCTGTGTACCTGTGGGCTGTGTGTGTGTGTGTGTGTGTGTGTGCGCGCGCATGCAGTTGCATGTACCTGGGCTGAGGCTAGGAAAAGGCTCAAAGGAGCAACGTTGCCTCTCACTGTCCCAGGGAGGGGGCATGCCCTGGTTCCTACAGTTCACCAGGTTCAGTTACCCCTAAGATTAAAACCTCTCTTAACATCACTTAAACTGCTGGTTTGCTGCCTGAGTTTTTTTGCCAGTGATATGGCCTGATTTTTTTATGCCTGTGAGTGGGCCTATGATTGGGGTCTCCTTTCGAGAGGCCTGCAGCACTCCTTTCAGTTATTTGACTGTCTGGGCTTAGCATGGACTGGAGAGGGTGAAGGCAAGAGGATGAGTCCAAGTGTCTAAGGAGAAACCTACTCCTAACTCCAGAGACTAATACTGTATGTCCAACAAAGGGGGACCTCCCAACCCTAAACAAAAAAAAGGCTAATATATAGCATCAGAAAAGTGTGGGTTTTGGATGTTAGTGTAGTGGAAAAGAGGGCTGCTGTCTCTGAGGAGTCCCAGTCTGTGCCTGCGAGGTGATACAGCAATAAGCATTGCACTATTCATGTACATGCTTGGGAACATGGCAAAGAGGCCAAATCACCAGGCTTGCCTTTCCACTGGCTGCAGAGGTAAAATAACACTCTAAGACGCTTCATCTTTCATTGTTAATTACTTTAATGTTTTGCTGATTTATTTTCAGATCTTTGGGCGCTTCCTTATGGATTAAATCACAGAGCTGTTTGAGAGCATACTTGATCAGGGGCTATTTTCAGTTTCATGAAGACCCACATGTATATGACAGGGCCCTTGGCAGCGACAGTGGGGTGAGACCAGTGGTGGGCATGCTCACGTTGTTGTGCCGTGCAGCACAGTACGTCCCCCAGGTTCAGCCTCACAGCTGAGCTCTGGCAGCCTCTCATTGCTGCAGTCAGCCAAACTGAATTAGCCTAGCTTGGAGATGGGGTTTGCTGCACTAGAGAAGACACTGCACCAATCCCACTAGCAATGCTGTGCCGGAGCCTGAGCTAGTGCTGGGGCCCAGGACTGTGGAGAAAGGACACCTGCTCCACAGCTCTGCATGCTGTGCTGCTTTAACCAGTACCTGGTGGTGCTTGCTGTGTGGATAAGGACCAGCATTTACTGAAATTAAAAAAAACTGCTTATTATCACTGCAAAAACAGGGGGTGCTCTTGTGTCAGGTAGGGAGTGGAGGGGTGGATTACTGCTGGTCCTCCTGAGCATTATCAATCATGCCCCTGGGTCTGGTGAAGGGCAACCTGAAGGTGGACTCCCTCTCCTGGAGTTTTGCCCTGATCTCAGCTCTCCAAAGCTGAGACTCTTCATAGATTCTTTTATTTATTTATTTATTCTCTACCAAATGCCTTCAAGCAGGCACAGAATTGCCATTGATTACCACCCAGATTAAGATTTTTTTTTTTTGTTTTCCGTCTGTGT